CGTAGTGCTTGTCGCTGCGGTATCACCTTTAAAGGTTAAGCCAGTATTATCAACCGCTGTCTTCGCATCTACACCTTTTTGAATATCTGTTTTAGTGCTTGCTGCAAGATCTACTTTATAGTCAGTAACGTTGTTTGCATCTTTAGTTCCCGCAGTTACCGTTAGAGCTGATGAACCTGCTGATGCGGTTGTACCATTGGCATTAACGGTATAAACATCTTGACCATTTGTACCTGTAGTTTTTGCAACCCCTGCTATATTGGTTCCACCTGCAACTTCAGTTTTTGATGCCGCAGCTTTAGAGTCAACATAAGTTTTGTTGGTCGCATCTGTACCTGCTGTTGGGGCATTGTTGACTGTTACTTTATTTGCAGTAATCCCTGCATTGTTAATAACAGTTGCGCCTGTAGTCACACTACCAGCTGTGCCTAAGTCCAATGCATTCGATAACGCAACTTCGACTTTACCTGCATTTACTTTAGTCGAGATATTGCTGTTTGAACCTACAATATCAACTGCTTCACCTAACTTCTTGTTAACAGTCGTGCCGTCCTGTGCTTTTAAACCAAAGCCCAAGTTAGTCAGTGTTGAACCAGCATCATCTACATATTTTTTATTGGCTGCATCTGTATTGTTTGTTGGTGCAGCAACATTGGTAATGGTCTTATTACCTGCATTAATACCAGTGCTCGTAACGCTTGGACCACCTGTAATCGTCAATCCACTGTTATCTAACTTAGAATTGCCTGTAGTGACACTGCCAGCTGCACCTAAATCTAAGTTTGGATTTAACTTAACTTGTACACCATTCGCTGTCGCGACTGTACTAATATTCGTGTCACCAGTGATGGAAACCGTATCACCTAATTTCTTAGTTGTGCTTGTCGCTGCGGTATCACCTTTAAAAGTTAAACCTGTATTATCAACGGCCGTCTTCGCATCTACACCTTTTTGAATATCTGTTTTGGTGCTTGCTGCAAGATCTACTTTATAGTCAGTAACATTGTTTGCATCTTTAGTTCCTGCTGTCACTGTGACAGCTGATGAGCCTGCTGAAGCGGTTGTACCATTGGCATTAACGGTATAAACATCTTGACCATTTACACCTGTAGTTTTTGCTACTCCTGCTATATTGCTTCCACCTGCAACTTCAGTTTTTGATGCCGCAGCTTTAGAGTCAACATAGGTTTTATTGGTTGCATCTGTACCTGCTGTTGGTGCAGCAACATTGGTAATCGCTAACCCACCTGCATTAATACCTGTTGTTTTATTGATAACAACGCCGCCAACCGTAACTTGGTCAGCTGTTACACCAGCATTATTAATAGTGGTATTACCCGTTTTAACGCTACCAGCTACACCTAAATCTAAGTTTGGATTTAACTTAACCTGTACGCCATTCGTTGTTGCAACTGTACTAATATTCGTATCACCAGTGATAGAAACCGTATCACCTAATTTCTTAGCAGTGCTTGTCGCTGCGGTATCACCTTTAAAGGTTAAGCCCGTATTATCAACTGCTGTCTTCGCATCTACACCTTTTTGAATATCTGTTTTAGTGCTTGCTGCAAGATCTACTTTATAGTCAGTAACGTTGTTTGCATCTTTAGTTCCCGCAGTCACTGTGACAGCTGATGAACCTGCCGATGCTGTTGTACCATTGGCATTAACGGTATAAACATCTTGACCATTTGCACCTGTAGTTTTTGCAACCCCTGCTATATTGGTTCCACCTGCAACTTCAGTTTTTGATGCCGCAGCTTTAGAGTCAACATAGGTTTTATTGGTCGCATCTGTACCTGCTGTCGGTGCAGCAACATTGGTAATCGCTAACCCGCCTGCATTAATACCTGTTGTTTTATTGATAACAACGCCACCAACTGCAACCTGATCTGCTGTAACACCTGCATTATTAATAGTGGTATTACCCGTTTTAACGCTACCAGCTACACCTAAATCTAAGTTTGGATTTAACTTAACCTGTACGCCATTCGTTGTTGCAACTGTACTAATATTCGTATCACCAGTGATAGAAACCGTATCACCTAATTTCTTAGCAGTGCTTGTCGCTGCGGTATCACCTTTAAAGGTTAAGCCCGTATTATCAACGGCTGCTTTCGCTGCAACACCTTTAGCAATGTCTGTTTTGGTCGCTGTTGAAAGGTCTACATCATATGCTGTATTGTTATTTGCATCTTTTGTACCTTTAGTAACAGTTAATGCACCTGCGGTTGATGTCACACTTGATGAATCAGCGTCTACAGTATAAATATCATTTTTATTTGTGACATCTACTGTTTTACTAACAGTCGTATTTTTACCTTGTTGTACTACTGTTTTCGCTGCTGCTGCTGCTGCAGTCACATCTCCAATATTCGCTGCATTGGTTGATGTCGCACCACCACTAGCAAGACCTGTGATCTGTTTATTATTAAGATTTGCCCCACCATTTAAATTACTTATACCTGTAACAGTCTGAGTTCCACCTATCGTACTATTTCCTGTTACAGCACTTGCGCCATTTACCTGCAAACCTGTAGAAGTCACTGTCCCTGCAAAGTTAGGAGCATCTGCTATTTGTATTGCAATTGCACCGCTCTGATCTGTTACCGTTTTAACATTCGCACCGCTATAAGTACCAGTTGTTGTTGCTGTTCCACTAATTGCGATACTATCTCCAAGCTTACGATTAATATCTGTAGTATCGCCCGATTTTCTAGCATTTCCAGTGAATGTTATGGCTTTATTTGCTTGCGTGCTTACAGTATCAAGTTGACCTTTATTGACGGCTTGATCAGCTGTTGTGGCGTTAGCAACATTATTAATCGTAGTGTTAGCTGCATTGATGCCACTACTCGTAACACTTGGACCGCCTGTAATTGTTAAGCCAGTATTATCTAACTTACTATTTCCAGTCGTAACAGTTGTAAATGTTGGTGTTGCACTTGTAGCAACTGAATATGATATTGAACCATCGGCAGCTGTTGTAGGCGTAACAACAATATTTGAACCACCTGTAACACTTCGTTGAGTCGCTTTAATTGCGTCATCAATTGTTGTTTTACCCGTTCCACCAATATTAGTTGGGGCTGTATATGCATTGGTTGCTGCATTATATGCAGCGCCACTACCTGCACCTAAAGCACCAGCCAAACGACCATTTGTATCATCATAAGCTTTGTCTAGTTGAGCAACTGTCACAGCATCTGATGCTGCTGAACCATCTGCTACGTTTTGAATTCGACGGTTACCAGCTGCTGTACCATTACCAACTGACACGGCTCCAACAGTTGGAGCCGCTTGCGATGTTAAAAATCCTGTCCCAGTAATAGCTGATGTTATTGAGTTTGAGCCTAACGCCACACTGTTATCGATAGAAGCAACGGCATTAGAGCCTATTGCCGTACCCGCAACAGTTGAACCTGTTACTTTAGCATTTACACCTATTGCTGTACCTTTTGTTGTTCCAGCAGCAGTAACAGATTGAGCACCAACAGCAACACCACTATCATTGATATCAAATGTAAATGAATCAGCCGAAGCACCTGTTCCCAATGCAAAGCTTTGTCCCCAGCTTTGTGCGCCTTTACCAATTGCAATAGAATTGATATCAGTTGTGCCACCAGTAGCTGTAGCACCATCACCTATTGCAATACTACCACTAGCCGATGTTTGAGCATTTCGTCCAATAGCAATTGCACCAATACCAGAAGTCCCCGAATCAGTGCCTATCGCTATTGATGAAGTATTAGACGCTACAGCTCCCGAACCCAGAGCAACGCTTGACTCACCTGTTGCTTTAGTATCAACACCTGCAGCAAGTGCCCATTGTGCAGCTTCAGTATTATGTCCTAAAGCAGTACCGCCCTTTCCTGTAACCTTCGCATAGCTCCCATATGCTGTTGCACCGAGTACTCCACCACCCGAAGCATTACAACCTGCAACAGTAGAGTACGTACCAGAACCATCGGTTATCGCCCCAGTTGTTCCATTGGTTTGAGCTTTATAAACTGTTGTATTTCCACCAGTTACGCAATCTGTGTCATTTTTATTTCCTTGTGCTTGCATATCTATAGTGTTAGCCATAGCCTCTGGACTAAACGCTACCATCAAGCTAACTGTTGCTGCCCCGACAATTCCCGTTACTTTAGATGACTTGGTTTTCCCTTTTGCCAATTCAGAAACTGCAACCCATGCCGACAAAGTCGCATTCCAAATCACTTTGTAGATCTTATTCATATTACTTTTCCTTTAGGAGGTGCATTACAGCCGCTGATTTCGCATTAATAATGCATATAAAATGTACAATTTTTTTTATTTAACAATTTACATACATTTAAAGCAATAGAAAAATTGAGATATATTTCACTTATTTTATTTTTTTAAACACATGGTCTAAACTTTTAAATAAAAAGTAAAATAACCATACATTTTTTAATTTTTATATCTATAAATCAGAAATTTATATACAAATCAAAAAACATTAAGATTTATTAAATACATATTGTTCTTAAATTGAGCATGTGACAAAATTTGTCACATTTATCAAAATAATGTGAGACTTAGTTTACGTTTGACATATTGTTAAATTTCTATTAACTGCCTATTCTTGTTCAGTTAACAATTTTTTACTGAGAAATATGTCACAATAATTCTAATTTCAATCTCTAATCAATCTCTTTATTTAGATTAAGTTAAAAATAAGACCTATTTCTATCAATTTAAAGTGAAAAATTTTATATAAAAAAGTGATATTTATTTTAAAAGTGAATCTTGGTTAATTTAGATTTACGCGAATTTTAAGGGTGCTGTAAAAGACATCTGCTGACTGTTTTCAAAGCAGATAAGTGATCAAAACAAAATATACAATTGATCGTATTTTATTTTTTACATAGAAAAACCTGTATTTTCATTTGAAAACGCCACCGTATAATCAGGTTTGCTATAATTCAATTTAAAATTTAATCTGAGCATAACCTTTGAAGATCATTTTTGCAGGTACACCCGAATTTGCAGCTTCTGCTTTAGCAGCACTCATTGAAACTGATCACGAAATCGTCGCTGTGTATACTCAACCCGACCGTAAATCAGGTCGTGGACAAAAAATGACAGCTTCAGCCGTGAAACAACTTGCGCTCGCAAACAACTTACCCGTCTATCAACCACTTCATTTCAAAGCATCGACAGACGAAGGCTTAGCGGCTCAACAAGAATTAGCAGCTTTGGGCGCAGATGTAATGGTGGTTGCGGCTTATGGCTTAATTTTGCCTCAGGCCGTATTAGATACACCGCGCTATGGTTGTTTAAATATTCATGGTTCTTTGCTACCACGTTGGCGTGGTGCTGCTCCGATTCAGCGTGCCATTGCAACGGGTGACACTGAAACCGGAGTAACGATCATGAAAATGGCGGCTGGACTAGATACAGGCGATATGATCTTTAAAACAGTGTGCCCAATCACAGTAGAAGAAACCTCAGCGACTTTATATGACAAACTTGCGATTCAAGGCGCTGAAGCAATTTGCGTGGTATTAGAATCAGAACAAAAATTACAACAATATTTAGATGCACGTGAAGTGCAAGATGAACAATTTACGGTATATGCACATAAACTCACAAAAGCTGAAGCGCAAATTGATTGGACTAAATCAGCAGTTGAACTTGATCGCAATATTCGGGCATTCAATCCTTGGCCAGTCGCATTTACACCAATAGATGAAACCAATAATTTACGTGTATGGAATTCTCAAATTTCAGACCTTACAGCCAATGGTAAAGTACCTGGAACCATTATCGAAATGAACAAACAAGGTGTACATGTGCTGTGTGGAGATGGTGTGATTTGTCTGACTAGCCTACAATGGCCAGGTGGCAAAGCCATTAACCCTGTACAAATTATACAAAGCCATAAACTTTCAGTAGGAAATATATTCGCATGAGCCAAATTCAATCATCTGCAAAAAATTTGAATTTGCGCGCACAAGTGGTTAAAACACTTTTAGCTGTTCAAAATGGACAGTCTTTGGCTTCCGTTTTAAACCAACATATCAATATTGTTTCTGAACGTGATCGTGGTTTATACCATGAGCTTACTTTGGGCTGTTTACGTCAGTGGTATTCTTTAAAAGCAATTACCTTACCCTTGCTCACAAAACCGTTAGACAATGAGGCACTAGAAAGTTGCTTATATTTGGGTTTATACCAGATTTTATGCACCCGTATTCCTGCACATGCGGCGATTTCAGAAACTGTCAATGCAGCGAAGCAATTAGGTTTTGAACCGATGAGTGGTTTGGTCAATGCCATCCTTCGTCGTGTTTCACGTGAAACAACTGAGTTTCAAACGGCTTTGAATAATACCCATGGTTTACCAAGCTGGCTGTTCAAACGACTTAAAAAAGATTGGGCTGATCTACTCCCTGAAATCTGTCAAAATTTAAAACAAGTTGCCCCACTAACGCTGCGTGTCAATGAACGTCAAATTAGTCGTGATGAATATCTTGATATTTTAGATGAAGAACAGATTGATGCTCGTCCTTGTACACTTTCAGATGTTGGTATAGTTCTGGAACAAACGGGCAATATTACTCATTTACCTGGCTTTGAAGAAGGCGGGTTTTCTGTTCAAGATGAACATGCTCAATTGTGTGCAACACTGTTACCCAACTTAGATGACAAAGTCATTATCGATGCTTGTGCAGCACCGGGTGGTAAAGCAGCTCATATCTTAGAACGTTTCAATCCTAAAAAATTAATCGCACTTGATCATGATGCTAAACGTTTATTGCGTGTTTCAGAAAACTTGGAGCGCCTTGAATTAAATGTTGATGCAACAGTTGAAATCATCACAGCAGATGCTACAACATGGGTGCCTAAAGAATTGGTCGATTGCATCGTATTAGATGCACCATGTTCTGCTATTGGTGTTCTACGTCGTCATCCTGATATTCGCTTATTGCGCCAATCTACAGATATTCAGCAAGTGGTCGATCTGCAAAAGCAAATTTTAAAACATATGTGGCAGCAGCTTAAAGTTGGTGGAACACTACTTTATATTACCTGCTCAATTCTGAAAGTTGAAAATGAACAGCAGATGGTCGAGTTTTTTGCTGAACATGCAGATGCTGAAGAAATCAAGATTGATGCAAACTGGGGAATAGAACAAATTCATGGTCGTCAATTGTTGCCTGAAGCGCATCATGGTGATGGTTTCTATTATTGCCGAATTCAAAAAACAGCTTAAAAAAACGCATTAAAAAAGCAGGCTAATTCGCCTGCTTTTTTGACTCAAGTTTAAAGGGTATGGTGATCTTTAACCTCTTCCAGAACTTCATCCAGTTCTTCAGGGTTTTTCATCAAATGTAGGATCGATAAAATCAACCCACCCCATAAAAAAACCATTGAAATAATCATCATCACGATTGCAGAAGTATTCATTTTAACGCTCCTATCGATCTTTCATTTTGCTAAGGACTAAAGCAATAACAGCACAGAAAATCACACTGCCCCAACCAAAGAACATCAACATACTTGAACTATAGGTATCGTATCCATTTTTAATCAAGCTAAAAACGGTCATAGTTAAAGTGACCAGCAAAATTAAAGATGTGATTACAGTTAAAGTGAAATCCCAACCTTTACCAAGTTGCACAGTTGAAATACGATTCACATGATCACGTAACTCCATCAATGCTGAACGTTTAAACCACGCTATCGAAATAATTGACAATAATGCACCGCCAATAATCCCAATGTTATTTATAAAGTGATCGACGATATCTACCAGTTTAATCGAATTCACACTAGAGAATAAGAAAATTGAAACCAGTGCACTACCACCGCCAATGATGCTTACGGCTTTTTTACGTCCCCATTTTAACTTGTCTTGCATCGCTGCAATCGGCACTTCAAGGATACTCACCATTGAAGAAATCCCTGCAACAAATAAAGAAGAGAAGAACAGTAAACCGAATAAATCCGCACCAGTCCCTAAACTTGAAATGATTTTAGGGAAAGCAATAAATGCCAAGCCGATACCACCACTGACCACTTGATCTACAGGCTTGCCTGCTGAAAATGCCATAAAGCCCAGTGCCGCGAAGATACCAATACCCGCAAGGATTTCAGTAGACGCATTGGCAAAACCAACAATGAGGCCCGAGCCTGTTAAATTGGTTTTTGGTTTAAGATACGAGGCATAAGTCACCATGATCCCAAAGCCAACAGAGAGTGAAAAGAAAGTATGACCAAATGCTGCAAGCCATACTTTATAGTCCCACATTGCTGCCCAGTTCGGTGTAAAGAAAGCATTTAAACCTTGGACTGCACCTGGTAAACGTAACGCTTGAATAACAAGAATAGTGAACAAAATAAACAGTAAAGGCATGAAAATTTTATTGGATAATTCAACCCCTTTTTTCACACCACCAAATAAGATGATCAGCGTTAATGCCCAAATTCCCACAATTGGCCAAAATAAATGACCAACAAATTGAAAATCAAAACTTGTTGATTTTGAAGTTTGTAAATAGGTATTGAAGAAGAAGTTTTCAGGATCACTCCCCCACAATTGACCTACAGAAAAATAAACATAACTACCGGCCCATGTCAGTACACTGGCATAGTACAAACCAATAATGATACAGACACAGACTTGCCACCAACCTAAAGTTTCGCCCCCTTTAAATAAAGCACGATAGGCTTTAGGAGGTGAAGTATTGCTTTTATGCCCTGTCGCATAGTCTAAAAATAACAGTGGCAAACCTGCTGTGATAAGTGCAATTAAATATGGAATTAAAAAAGCGCCACCACCGTTTTCATAAGCAATGTAAGGGAAGCGCCAAATATTACCTAAACCGACAGCCGATCCAACAGCTGCGATAATAAAACCTGATCGTGATGTCCAGTTTTCACGAGATTCTGTCATAAAACACCTAATTCTGTAGATGTCCTCAAATGCTGCTTTTTTTCATTGTGATCTGCGAGCAAAAGAAGTACCAATTTTAAATTTTGTTGTTTGAATAAAACAGCACCTTTTGGGTCCTTTGTTATTATTCGAAACCAGTAACTTTGCAGACTTCTCGGTTAAAGTGAATCAACAAAATTACTGTTTAATGTTGTAACAATACTCGTTTTGCAGCGCTTTTTCTGTAATTTGTGTCCATTTTCCCATGTTTTTTTTACTTTTTATCACACATGGTTAATTTTTAGCTATTTTGCTTGGAATTGCCTATTTCTAATTGGCACTCTTGGGTAAACGATAATGCCCAATGATTTTATATTCATGCAAAATATCATTTTCACGTGTTCCAGAACCAATGTTATGAATAACCAAAGGTGTTTTTGACAACATTGTGGTTTTATTTGAAATGATACCAATGTGGGTTAAACCTTTACCTAAATCCCATGCCACGATATCACCTGCTTGATACTTTTGATCATTCACTTGATAACCTTGACGCTGAAAATAGGTCATGATATTTGGAACACGTCGATGATCAATATTTCGATCGGTTGCTTTTAACCCCCATTTTTGTGGATATTTTTTAAAATTAGCTTTCATATCTTCATGAATACGTTGTTGCAGATCTATACCTTGATGGCGTAAGGCGCGAATAACCACGTCTGTACATACACCTTTGATCAATGGAACATCACCCATTGGATAAGACAACTGAGTATAAGCAGGATCATAATAAAGTGTTTTCAAAATCTGAGAGCGTGCATCATTTACCAATTTCTCAGATTGAAATGCCCAAAGTTGCACACTCTGTAAGCAAAGTAAAACCATTAAAAATAATGAATTGAAAAATTTTATTATCATTTTTTAACTCTATATAAAATTCAAAGAAATAAGGAGCCGTAGCCCCTTAGAATATTAACTTATTGTTTGATCACAAGTAAGCGCTCTTCCTGCATATCACCAATTGCGGACTGGATCCCCTCACGACCTAAACCCGAATCTTTCACACCACCATATGGCATATTATCAACTCTGAAGGTGGGTATATCATTGATAATTACCCCGCCCACATGTAAATGATCCCATGCATAAAGCATCTTATTAAGATTTTGAGTATATACACCAGCTTGTAAACCAAAGCGACCTTGGTTAATCAGTTCGATACCTTTCTCAAATGTTTTATATTTTTCTAAAATTGCCACAGGGCCAAATGCTTCATTTTGATAAATTTCAAGAGATTCATCGACATTTTCAAGCAAAGTTGGCTCGAATAAAACCCCTTTTAAAGTGCCACCAATTAAGATTTTCGCACCCTTTTTCTCCGCTTTATCTACCCATTTTTTTAAACGAATCGCTTCTGCCTCCTTGATCATTGGGCCCACTATCGTGGTTTCTACATGTGGATCTGCAGCAGATACTTTTTTCAATTTTGCTAAGATTTTTTTTCTAAATTCTATATAAATATCAGCATGGACTAAAATTCGTTGCACACTAATACACACCTGCCCCGCATGCCCATATGCACCACCAATCACTCGATCAATCAATGCATCACTTATTTCTGTATCAGGTTCAATTAAAACAGCTGCATTACCACCCAATTCGAGGGTTACTTTTTTACGACCAGCACGTGCTTTCATATCCCAACCCACTTGATCAGAACCGGTAAAGCTGAGCAGCTTAAAGCGATCATCCGTCACTAACACATCAGCATGTTCTCGTGGACAAGGCAAAATTGAAAATGCGCCTTTTGGTAAATCTGTTTCAGCCAAAATTTCTGCGATTTTTAATGCGGAAATTGGCGTCAAACTTGCCGGTTTCAATACAAATGGACAACCCGCTGCTATTGCTGGTGCAATTTTATGCGCTGTTAAATTCAAAGGAAAATTAAACGGACTGATCAGAGACACTGCACCAATCGGTACATGTTGTACCATTCCCCGATATGCAGCAGCCGAAGCGGTAACAGCCAAAGGCATTAAATGACCGTCATTGATTGTGGAGACTGCATCTGCCGCTAGCTGGAAAGTATTAATCAGCCTTTCAACCTCAGCTGCTGCTGCAAGTTTAGGCTTTCCACCTTCGATAATTAAAATTTGGGTTAATTCTTCACGGAGCTCTTTAAAACGCTGAACACAATGTAACAGTATTTTTTGCTTCTGAAATGGCTTTAAAGCAGCCATTTCTTTCTCAGCTTTCACGGCTGCGCTGATGGCTTTTTCTAAAATTTTTGCATCCGCTAAAGCCACTTTTGCATAAATTTTCCCCGAAAATTTATCATGAACTTCAAGCCATTGTCCTGATTTAATCGCTTTATTGGCGACATAAAGTGGGAATTCAATCACTGCTTGATCAATAGAATCACTCATCCTACACCCTCGATTTAATCTTTTTAATAATGCAAAATTTGATAAACCCCTATATCATGCCTTCTGTTGATACAGTATTGAAATGTATTTAAGTAACAAAAATATAGGATGAAAAATCATTTCATCAAGAAGGACATATGAAATCTATTCAATTACCCTTATTTATCGCTGCATTAGGTCTAAGTTCATTTGCTCAAGCTGATTTTATTGGTTTAAAAGGTGATGTGAATTACTGGTCTTACAATGGAAAAATTGAAAATACTAAGCCACTAAATGGTAATAATGATATTGATCGTGATAATGGCATTCAAGCTTCGATTGCTTTTGAACATCCTGTTCCTCTTTTACCGAATGTAAAAATTAAATACACCAATTTAGATAGCTCAACTAACAATAATGATGGTGCATTTAGCTCAAATACAATTGACCTTACTAATACTGATTATATTTTATACTATGAAATACTCGATAATATTGTTAGTGCAGACATTGGTTTAGGCTTAGCAAATATTAATGGTGATTTTAAACAATATGATGCAATTCAATCTATGGATTATACGATGTCTGGTAATTTACCTATTGCTTATGCCTCTATCGGTGGGAAGCTCCCATTTACAGGTTTAAGTACCAAAGGAGAAATTATCGTTGGTAGTGATGGAGATGCAACACTGACAGATGTACAAGCAGAACTTCAATATAATTTTGTGCAAAGTTTACTTTTAGACCTTGGTGCTAAAGTAGGATATCGCTATATGAGTATTGATGCTGATAAAGATGACATCAAATATAAATTAGATTTTAAAGGGCCTTATATTGGTTTAAATGCCCATTTTTAATAGAAAATATCCGTTTATGATCATGTAAGCTTTTTCTTACATGGTCTGCCGATTTATGCGTATAGGCAGAATAGCTAAATTTTAATATTATAAACACATTAGGAAACAGGAAGTTTCCATTAAAAACAAGAATAAGATAGGACGATAACGCAGGATAGCGAAAGGTACGACAGGAGTTATACCTCAGAACCAATACAAAAAACCTCAGGCATGGATGTCTGAGGTTTTTTTATTTTGAATAGACTAAAACAATTAAAGTAAAAAACTTACCACTTCATAAAAGCCATTCCTTCAATAGCATCAATTTGAATCAGTTCAGTTTGTTTTTGAACCAGTTTAACCGCTTCATGCAAACTTATTGTTTTTGTATAAGAGCCTTTTTGATCAGGAACAGGAATATCTGCATCTAATGAATAATCATCATTAACGATAAACTGTAAAGTACGATCATTTTTATCAACGATCCCTAAAAAGTTTTCTGACCTGATTAACACAGATTGCATTAGGTCTATGATTTCATCGATAGATGCATACTGATTTTGAGTGGGTAAAACCTCTTCACCAGCATAATCTGTAAAGAAAAATTGGAAAATCAACATATTATTAACTGTTTTTATCGTAATACTTTAATTTTTAACATAAAGAAACGACTGGTTCAATAGCTCGACTCTTTCTATATCCCTTACTTCAATGATGATCATGATGAGGAATACAGAAAATAAGTTCAGTTTCATCAATACATAAGCTTAATCAGTGATCAATTAACTTAATATAAATAGATCTCTTTTCATTTCGCTATAAACACCGCACATAAAAAAACACCCCAATCTCGTTAAAGATCGGGGTGTTTTAGATTTAAAAGCTGGCGATGACTTACTCTCACATGGGTAACCCCACACTACCATCAGCGCTAAGAGGTTTCACTTCTGAGTTCGGGAAGGGATCAGGTGGTTCACTCTTGCT